CCGATCTGGTGGGAGGTGCCTCTGCCCATGTCAGGGGGTTGGCACTGGATGATCTCTAAGGTCCGTTCCAACCCCTTAACGTGCTGTGAAACTAACTATGAAGGTGCTTCCCACCACACCTTCTGCCTGTGCTCATTGATCCCTTTCTCTGTGCTCCCTGCTCCCTTTCCCAATCTTCCTTCCCCTGTGCCTGCAGTGTGCCTGCGGATCCAGATCAACCCCCAGAACAAAGGGGAGTTCCAGGGCATTTCCCCCGAGAGAGCCTTCGCTGATTTCCTCTTTGCCAACACCATCCTGCACCTTGTGGTCATCAACTTCGTGGGCTGAGCACTGCACAGGCTCTCAGGTGCTGCTCTGGGGGGCACAGCAGGCAAACACAGTGCTCTTGGGGGGAACTAGGACGAGAGTGACTACAGGAGCCCTCATGGCTCTCAGCTCCCTCTTGGCCTTGTGCAGCTGAGCTGTTGTGCTCTGCTGGCTCAGAGGCAGAGTTATAGCTCCAGGGTTTGTGCATGTGGTTTTGACTTTCGTAGTTTAAAAGGCAGTTCAACTAGGAGTGTTAGAGAAACAGCAGTAGGAGGTACCGCATTCTGTGAGGAGCTGGAGCTCCTGGGCTACCTGTGAGGTCTGTCCTTGTGGGCTGTGGTGTGACTGTGGTCCAAGTCTGGAGTCTCTCAGCAGATTGGGACAGGTTGGATGTTGGGAGTGGAGGACGTTCGTACTTGTTGTTGTGGGAAGGGGCCACAAGGTCATTGGACCTTGGGAGAAAGTGCAGTAACATTGCTCATGTTGCCTTTCTCTCTTTCCAGGCCTTGAACTGCCCCTGACCTGATGGCAAAGCCTGGCCCTGGGGGTGTCCAGTGCCCCCTTTCTGGGTGGAGGAAGGGGGTGCAGGGCTCTGGTTTCCCCCCCCGCCCAGAGTGCGCTGTGGACGGATCTGCAGCCTCATGGTGTTACTGTGATCCTTTCCATCAATAAAACCCTTTATGACACTGCAGCCTCATCCCTGGTGGTGACAGACACAGAGTTCCCTCTCAGGCATCACTCCCTGTGCTTATCCCCTCCCTCCCCAGTAGGGTCTGTTCTGTGCCCCAGTTTGGGAGGGAAGCAGGAAACAAATCGTCATGGGAAATCAGCTGTAACCGCCTTTCCTGCCTCTCTACCTTGCAGAGTGTGTTGCCAATGTGCCCTCAGGCTTCAGAAATGGAAAATTCCACTTCAAAGCTGTGGAAAGTTTGGATTAGGTTGTGGTTAGTGGGCACAAAGGGAAGGAAGTGGGTGGGTGTCTTCCAGCACATCCCCAGATGTGCTCAGCTTCCCGCAGGCCTTCCCACATTTCTCAGAGGTTTCTGGGCCATAGCTGGATTTCCCAGCTGGACTTAGAGGCTCACTAAGGCCTGGTGTGGTACACCCACCCTGAGGCACTATCAGTTTTGCTGCTCTCATGGGCTGAAAAACACAAGTTGGTGTAAAGGGTGCAGAAATCTACCAGCAAATTCAGTGACCTGACACAGCTCTAAGCTCTCTCCCCCCCATCCTCCACACCTTACAAAGCTTTTTCTCCCCTCCTTTCCCTGCCCACACTATACATAACTCAGTGCTTCCTGCTGCACCCAAACCAACCCCCTCCCAGAGCCAGAAGCAGCTGTGGTGAGGGGCAGCAGGGGAGGGGGTTTGACCCCATTCCTCTTTGGCTTGTGGTCTAACGTCTGCTGTTCTTTCCACAGCCTCTCGACACGCCCCTGCCCGCGTGCCAGCCCAGCCCCGCACCCTCTGTGCTCCTCTCTGCAGAGGAAGTGGTTGCTGTGGTCGGTGCAGATGAGCCCCAGAAGGTGCCCCAGATCTCGGCTGTGACGTCATGGAACTGGTGCGGTGGCCTCTTCCTGCCCCAGCTGGGCCCAGAGCCCCTTTACACCCCCTGCCCTGTATTTCCTGCCTTGGCTTTTCTCTGTGGGTTTTGTTTCTCAAAATAAGCAAGTGCAAAGGGGAGGGAAGGTACACCGTGGGGTGGGAGATGGCTGAGAGCTGCAAAGCTCTGTGAGTGAGATCTGCAGGTTCAGTGGTTTGCAGAGCCACTTCAGTCACAACATTTACGTTCATCTGCCACTCGCCCCCACAGGGCACGTCCTGTCACTGGGGTCACTGAACCTGGCAGAGGAAAGACTGAGCTGTGGAAACAGAGGCAGTTCAGTCCTTCCTCCTTGCCTCACAGCTGAGAGGGTTTGGAGTGCAACATCAAATGTTTTAGATGGATCTTAATTTTAACAAGTGATGCTAAAGGTGAATGAGTTTGGCAAGTTTTCTCCCACAGCCCTGAAGGCTTCTGGGATGAGGTTAATCAGTTGGAAATCTGTGAAATGCAATTAACTGATTTATAGGTCAAATATGGCTCAGGCAGCTTCTTTAAGCTGTTCCCTGGTGACGTGGCAAAATTCACCATGAGCAGAATGTAAGCTCTGTGAGCTGTCTGGAATCCAGCATTAAGGAGCTCTGAGCTTTCTGCAGCTGGAGAGGTGTGAGAGTAACTGTTGTGCCAAGGAAGAGACATGAGAACAAGTCCCTGAACATCTGTACTATAAAATAATCAGAGCAACAGACACTGAAAGTTTAAACCTGTTCCTTGGCAGGAGGGTCAGGAACTGTCACCCTGTGCCAGGCACCTGCTTAATGCTCAGGTGCAGGTCCATGGCAGGAGACCAGGGTGGCTTTGCTGCTGCACAGCATTGCAGGGTCAGATCCTGGCAGAGATGCTGCCATGGTCTTCCCACACAAAGCCCCAGGGCTTTTGGCTGAACACATTTGAATCCTGAGCCTCTCCAAAATCAGTTCTTGTGAAGGCTGTGACTGGGTGAGAAACATCCTGTGAGGAATCAGCCTCAACCAGAGCAGTGGGGCTTTTCCTGCCCCTGGATCTGGGCACTGGTGTGAGGCACAAGCAGGGCTCAGGCTTTGCAGGGAGAGTGTGTTCCTGTCAGAGCTCACTGCCCATTCCTCCCTCCAGAGCAATCTCTGGGGTTTCAGAAGAATTTGGAGAAATCAATGTCACCAAAGGAGACAAATTCCTTTCCAGTCTCTCCAGTGACAGACAGAACCTGGAGGCAGAAGCCTCAGCTGGTGCCATCACTGCAGAGCAGGTACCTTGTTCCCCAGTGCACTCAGGAGTGAGGGACACTTGGAGACAGGACACTTGAGGCTCCTGTGTCCCTCACAGACATCTGTTCCAGGAGCCTGGACCCATGACTGGTCCTCTCACTGTGGCTAAGCCATGGTTCACCGTTGTCTTACACAGTACTTAGTGTGACCTTGGAGGAGGGGTGCTGCCCCTTCCCCTCCCTGCCAGCCACAGCTCTCCCAGCGACACAGCACAGACACCCTGGAGAGGGACTGGGGAGTTGTTTCCACCCTCCATGGAGGATCCAAGCCCTTCCCTCCTCCCCCCCAAGGCTAGGCTCATTCCTCAAGCTCAGATGAAGCCATTCGTCAGCCAACAAATACAAAAGCCAAACAAGTTTCTCATTTTTGATAAGAACTGTTTAATAGCAGCCAAAGGCCTAAAGAAATGCAAACACCACCATGTGGGGCCCAAGCAATTGGCAGCATTCAGGTGTCCCAGACACTGTTCCAAGGTGAGCACACCTGGACAGGAAAATGGTTCAGAATATTTTGCACAATGATTATAAAAGGAGTTGGGAAATTTCAGGTTGTTAGAACTGAACAGAAAGAACAAAAGGTTTGTATTTTTATTAAACACAAAGCCAAATCTTAAGTGATTTAGATTCAGCAAATGTTAAGACTGGAGAGAGTAAAAAAATCAAAAACTTTGGGTTTTCTGTGATAATGAAGTGACAATGTCACTGAATGTAGGACTTCTGAGAGGCCTAGCAGCTATCCTTTAGGGACAAAAGGGTTCTTGTGCTCTGATCTAGCAGGACATGGTGCACAAAACCCTGAGCAATTCTCCTTTTGCTTTGCAGTGTATCATTTCCACCTGCAATGGTGTCGGTGTCTGGGTGTGCTCTGAGAGACATGTACCTTAAAGCTACCAAAACAATAAACGTTCACATTCAGGTGATATGTAACTTGCAGGTTTCAACAAGCAGCTGCTCTAGGCAGAAATTGGCATTTCAGTGCAGGTAACAGTGATGTTTGGCAATGGAGAGTTACAGTAAACCTGCTGCAGGCAGGAGGCACTGCCAGGGGCAATGACCATCTGGAGCAGGAGGCTGCACGTTGTGAGCTTAGCTTGGAGTAGTTTTATAGCAATGCAAATAAAGCAGTTTAGAAGAGAATGGCTGGAGTGAGAAGAAGAGCAGGTGATGTCCCTTGCCCCAGAACATCCCTGTGCTCCCTCTGGCTCATGATGAGCTCCTGAAGATTCCTCAGCAGATGCTTTTGATCCTTCAGGGCTGACCCAGCTGGTTACTCTCAGTCCTGTACCAAAGATAAAGGTGTGTTACATCCTTGTTTGGGACACAGCTGCACACTTACAGAGCTGAAGCATCCAGGCAGGATAAAGAGCAGAAAGAGACACTGAGCCGAAGCTAATACATTAGGTCTTATATTAAAGTCAATAAGCATCAAACTTTCCCAGCTGAAGACTAGCCAGGGGATAGAGGTGATGGATGGATGCAGGCGAGGGAAGGAATAATAGCAGGGAGAGGTATCTTGAAAGAAGGAACAAAAATTGCATAGGAACAAGGAAAAACAATTGGGGGCTGGTGAAAATGGTATGGCCAGAGGAGTGGAGGATTTTACTGCTGGTAGACAAAAGGTACATAGACAGACTGCATGAACAGCTGTTCCAGAGAGAAGAGCTAATTTATAGTATCATTTATACTATAATTAATAAAATACATAATTTATACTCTAATAAATAGTTAATTTATTAGCTATTATGTATTATTCACAAATGATGATCTGACCCAGAGATTTCTGAAAGGTTTTCAGCTGCCCCAGGCACACTCACTTTTTTTTCCACATCAACATTGTCATCAGCACATTAAAAATTATTCCTTTCATTAAAATTATTTTCAGGCCCAGCTGTGACAAGGACAGTGTGTTCAGGTGTTCATCTGGAAAAGGAACAGACAATGAGGGTCACAAGAGCACTGAGACATCCTTGTCCAGACAGGCTGCAAAGCACCTGCTGAAGCAGCTGCACTGTCCTGGAGTCAGTGTGGGACAGGGACAGGCTGAGAGACTTCAAGTTCTTCCAGTCAGTAACTGCTTAATAAGCCAAGAGACAACTCTGCCAACCATCTGAGTGGGTTTAGTACTGTGCACTATGAGCCCAGGGTGCTGCAGGCATCCTCTGTCCCTCCTCCCTCTCTCCAAAATGTTTTAGAGCTGGGTAGGGGGAAACAAGTTAGATTTTATTCACAGAACACAAAGTTCATTTGGATTTTCTATTAATCTGAATTACAAACCCATTTTCCTTTGAAGATTCGCTGATCTATACCAGCACACAGGAAGCTGTCAGCAAAAACTCATTGTATGATTGTCTTTGAGCATCTCTCTGACAGACTGATCAGAGCAGCCACAGGTACTGAGGAGGATTTCCTGCCATGCTGCTGGGAAGGTTTGCAGCAGCACAGCTCTGTGTGAGCTGGGCAGGCACAGGGCAGGCTCAGCTCCTGGGACCCTGCAGGAACAGCAGTTCCTGGACTGCAGCAGGGCTGGAGCACCCCCAGAACCCTGAGCTGGGGCACAGCTTGCTCAGAGGCATCACAGCTCCAGTGCAGCCTCGAGCACACCTGGCACCGTGGGCTCAGCTATGGCTTCAGGAGGTGTTTGTGCAACCCTTGTGAACTCTGAGCTACAGCACATGAAGTGAGTGACTCATGTCAGCCCCTGAGGTCCCTGTGCTGGGCAGGAGCTGCTGGTGAGGCACAGCAAGAGCCTGTGGGCACTGCTGCACTGGCTGCATCAATCATCAGTTTGGAACTGGAGGCTGCATTAAGCCCAAGAGTTTCAGCCTTGATGTTAAACCCTTTGGGGCCCTGCGGGCAATTCCCAACCTGAGCTTTTTGCTCCCACAGTTCTGCAAACAGGGACCGTTAGCAAAAGCTTGGGAAGAATTTTCTTTATCAGGCCAAGTTTACTCCTAAAGTGCTGTGTCCATACCTGTCCTGAAGTGCAGGGACAGCCCTGTGACACAGACGGCATTGGCACCTGCAGAGAGCAACAATAAATTGACATAGTAACAAGAATTTACTCCTGGAGAAGTCCATGAAGATAGCTCTGCTTAGAAGGGTTAGTCTTTCTGGCCATCAAACCCTCCCATGAACACTCATTTCTGCTGATTTCAGGGCAAGCACAAAATATGATCTCATTAAGCCTTAGTGTCCTATTGGACAAGGAATTTCAAGCTTTCTATCCCCCCAGTGTCTCTAAGCTCTCTGTGCTGTGGCTGTACCTGTCTGCTGACTCTTAATCTTGCTTCCACTGAGGAGGAAGAAGAAAGAGAACAGGGGCAACAAGGCACTCAACACTCCTCTGGACTGTGGGAGGGTGATGGAGCATTGCTTGCAGGCCTAGGAGAGGTGTACCAGCCCTGAGCAGAACCCTGAGTCCCTCTGACCCTGCATCACCCCAGCAAGGCCATTACCACTTTCAGGGTCCTCTCCCTCCAGCTCCCCAAAGCCCTCGTGGCTGGCATGACAATCCATCTCATCTCTCCTGGCCCAGTAGGTCGACAGGTAACTTGATTCCTCCTTGTTCTCAGGTGTTGCCACCTCCACCACAGCACGTGTTGACTTCTTCTCTGCTCCAACAGTGAGCTGGTCAGGGGAGTAATCTGTGATGAGGCACATTTGCAGCTCCTTATCATCTCTGGAGGTCAGCCTGTAGGCTGAAGGGGATGGAGTAACTCCTGCAAGTAGAGAAAGAAGAGTCATTAGGTGAGAAAACACATTCCTAGTTCATGCTGTCCTGATATATAGACCCTTAGGAATGCAAGTTTCTCCAGTATTCCAGTGGAAGTTGCCTGATCATAGGGATCTTGTGCTAGGACACCTTTAGAGAACCAAGGCATCTACAGGGCGTGATGCAGGAGCTGCTTCTAGTGACTTCTGTTGTGTGGCAGACACAGTGCTCAGGCAAGATCCCTGGAGCATCTCAGAAGACACTCATGGGCATCCACCCCCTGGATGTCCCCATCTGCCCTGGGCATTCCTCTCCTTGACACCTCCTCCAGCTCTGCTCTGCAGCCTGGAATCTTGGCCTGGATGCACTCGGAATGTGTGAGCCCTGCAGAGAGAGCACCGGAGCAACCTGCTCTAGTGGAAGGTGTCCCTGCCCATGGGGGGGTGGGGGGTGGAACATGATCCTTAAGGTTCCTCTTGACCCAAACCATTCTGTGACTGTGACTCTGTGATTGTGATTCACTGTTATGAGCTGTGATGTTGCTGAGCACCCAGAGCCATTCTGCCTTTCTGCGAAGGTTTAGTCAAATCCACCACTGCAATGCAAAATTCCACCTCCTCCCCCTGTCCTGGGGGACAATGATAGACCTAACTTTGATGTGTGTCACATTTCCCACCAGTGTCTGATGCTGTTCCTACAGCACAAAGTTAGAGAAACTACTCCAGAGTAGGAGCACACTGCTGCACTCAGGGAGAGAAAGAGAAGCAAACAAGTGTTTCATCCTGTTCCACCACCTGACAGTCAGTGCTGATGGTTTAACTAGATTTTACCTTGTTTTCTTGCTCCAAATGCCTTAACAAGTCACCCACACTGGGGTTTCCATACACAGCAAAACACAATCTGTGGTTAAACTCTTTTTCTCTCATTTAGCTTTGTGAACTTGTACTCTGAGCTACATTTCCTCCTGTCCAGCTCCTGGGGGCTGCTGCTGTGAGCAGCAGCTTTCCCAACTCTCTGTTCATGATGCACAGGAAACGTTCTGGGCACTGCAGAGCTCTCCAGGGGACTGGATGAAATGCCATTACAGACATGCTGCAGCCAAGAGGCAGATATGGGGCTCTCAGCTGCACTTTCCATTGGCCTTCACAGACCTGAGCCAGAGCCTCAGCTCACATTTATACAGTGCCAAAGTGTTAGCCTGTAGGGCTGAGAGCCGAGATTGATCTTTGCTTTCTCCCTGTCCCCACGCCACACTGATCGGTACTGTAGGAACATTTAGCTTCAGGTGAAGTTTCCATTTTTTCCCATGGGGAAGTTGGGACTAAATCTTGGCTTACAGAAACTGTTGCCAAACCTTATCACCAGCTCAATGGCCTTCAGCTGTCCAGTGGCAGCTGTAGCACCTCAGGGAAACAGAAACACTCCTTTGGTAGTGTGAGCTCAGGACAAAGCTAATCCACAAAGGCCAGTGACTCACCCTCACGCCCTTCTGAACTGCAGTTCATGCCCCCCTAGTTTTGCCCTGGTATTGAAGAACCTGAGGAAACACTTTCCCAACTGTGCTGAAATACAGTGTAATGTCTGCTGGGATTCCCCAAGCTCTGCTCCCACACTCCCAGTGTGGCTTGGCAATTGGCTTCAGAGACTGTTCGTTAGGGAGAGGAAGGTAGGAGCAGGTACAAAGCCTTATGGTAGAGTCCTGTATAAAGCACAGCTGAGCCAAGGTACATCACTGCCATGGGAACACGGAAATGAGAGAAAAGAGAAGGAATGGAGCTGTTCTGCTTCTCTCCCAGAATGAGTATTATGATTTCTGGAGAGCTAATTATCTGCCTCTCTCCAAAACAGGATGTTTTTCTCCCTTTCAGTCTGTGCAATGCTTTGATCATGAGCAGATTAAAAAAAAAAAATCACAGCTGTTTTTTCCAGACAGCCTCAGCAGCATTTGCAAAGTGTTAATGACTCCTTCTTACTCAGAACTGTGGCTCCTTTGTCCTAGGCCTGCAGCCTAGTTCTGGCAAGGTCCTTTGTGTGTCTGCACACCTCTCTAGGGTTTGCAGAGAGCTTTGGTAACATCATGTTGCTCTGAGCTGTCCAAGGATACCTGCCAGGGGGAAGAACAGGAGCTGTTGGAGTGCTGTTCCTGCCCACTCTGCAGAGAAAGCCAACTGCAGAGACTGATTTCAGGGAGAGCAGAGCAACCTGTTCCAGCATCAGACTCAGGCCATTTTTCCCCAAATGAGCTGCAGTAAAAACCCTGAAGTGGTTCAATACTCAGCTGTTTACTACAGAGAATGATTTCCTTCTCCGTTCCCTGCAAAGTAAACTCTCTGAATCTCTGGTCATACTGGAATCGGTGATCTTACCATTCCTCAGCCTGAGACATGATATTCCACAGCTGGAGTCAGTCTGGAGCTATTGCCCAGTTCAGGGAACATCTGTACCCCTCACACACTCCTGCAGGCTAATCCTGACCCCAGAGGAGCAACTTCAGGAACCTCACAAGTGTTTCAGTGGTGTTTGCTGGCTGTGCTCCAGTGCAGGAAACTGAGAAGCCAGAGGTTTCTCTAAATGTTTCCCCCTCAGCTTAAGGCAAAACTCTGTTGCTTGTCAGACAGGACTCAGGAATTAATGACACCCAACACTATTAACCTGCCACTGCTGATGCTGTTTCCTTTCCCACTGTCCTCAGTGTCCCTGCTCCATCTCCAGGAGCACCTGCTGAGGAATAATCCTGGGTTCATCTTCTCTCAGTCCCCACTCCTCCCTCCATGTCTCACCTGGAGTTTGTGTTCACTCTCCATGAGGGCAGAGCCATGCAGAGACACTAAACAGGGAACACTGCACCTGCCTTCAAACCTTCATGGCCTGTCCTTCTCCAGAGCTACTCCCCTGGGTTGGCTTTAACTCCAGTCCCTCTTCCAAGCACAAATTACTGGATCTCTCAGTTTCCCACCCAACAGGAAGCCTCAGTTGCCACGACAGCAGCAGTGACAAGGTTGGTTCCCCTCCCCAGTGCAATCTCTGCTCCCTGAGTGCTGTGACAGCAGTGGTGACAAACATGGAAGAGGATTTCTTTTGGGCTCATGACATTCTCTTAGGCTAAGAGCCAGCAAATCCAGTCTCTAGGCCATTAGTCAGAGGAACCTCCAGTGCCCAAGCTGTGACTATTGAACCTGGGTGAACATCTACACCTTCTCCAGCTGCTCTGCCCCGCAGCCAGGTCACAGCCACACCGCAGCCAAACACTCCTTGCACACCAACACAGCATCTCTATTCCGACTGGCTTTTGTCAAAGAAAGCTGAAAATAAGTTGGAACATGCTTCCAAGAAAGTCCCTAGTCCTTCCACCCAATATACAATATACAATTGCCAGTCATGGTGTTACTATGGGAGGGAAAGCTCAGACTTACTTGGGGTAACCAGAAGGTGGGTCCCCCTTCCAAATGTGGATTTCTCATATCCCTGGCTGGCACATTGGTGCCAACCTCTACAAAAAGGGAGACGGGTCTGTGCAGCCCACACTGACCCAGGGCAGCACAGCCCAGGGCAGGGCAGAGCTGGAGGGGCAAGGATCAAACATGCTGGGCTGAGACACCATCCAAGTGCCAAACAAAACTGCTGAAAAACGATCAGGATGAGAAACACAGAGATCAAATGAGAATGTGTTCATTCACTCCCTGGTTACAGTTGTGTGTTAGTGCTTTGGGGCAATCCCAGGAAGAGTCTGGTTTTCCACCTGTAACATCACCTACAACTCCTGCTTACTGAGCCTTGCAGTTAGGGCCTCTCAGGCCAAGTTTTCTCTGGAGCCTTTCACCACGTACTCCCCACCTGCTTGAGCACCAGCAAGGCTCCTTTTCCTAATGTTGGCTTGTGTTCTTCTCCACCCCATAACTCACATGGCCCAGGAGACCTTTGCCATGACCTGCAGTTCCCTCCTGAAAGGTTTCAGTGGCACAGAGTGACCCTGTGTAGGTCTCAGAGCTTCACAGGCACTTGATAGGCAACCTGAGCCTTCTAACTCCATCACCTGGGGATTTCTATCCTGTCCCTCAGCTATGCAAGACCTGCAGTACCTGCAAGGAGCATTACCCGTGGCCTTGGAGCTGTGACAGCTCAGCAAACCTGGAGTCAAGTCCAGTCCCAAACAGAATCCGCCTGCAGTATCTGTAGGTAACACAGAGGCTGTGCCTCAGCCAAAGCAGCTAAAGCAGTGCAATTCCCAGTCCAGCACTAATGTTCCTTGGTGGATTCTGAGATAAGCAAAGCTCAGCTAAAGTGCTGATACTCCCCAAAAGTGGAGATGTTCTACATCACAGAACCATGGAGAAGTTTGGGTTGGAACTGACCTTTAAAGGTCATCTAGTCCAGCTTTCCTGCAATGACTAGGGACATCTTCAACTAGGTAAACGTTGAGAAGCTAAGTTAAGGTCAGATCTCAGATTCTGACACTGCCATTCCCCAGAGGTTGCTGTGTGTATCCACAATAATCTCGCAAATTAGTCACAAATTAGGATAAATTTACCTGGAAAAACCAGAAGTCTTGTCCCAGATCCAAATGTGAGTTTGTAACTACCTCCATAGCCACACAGCAGCTCAGGCCTCTACAGTATTCACAGCAGTGTTGAATGGAGCCTTCAGCAATTCATACTCCACCAAAAACAATGCTATTTGTCTCTGTGATTAGACAGATCTATTTATCTGGGGCTTTTCTTCTTACTGGCTTTCTTTTCATGTGCTATTTTGCATCTTTCACACTCCCAAACACCTTAATATTCTCCAATATCATATTTATCCATTGTCTCCAGATAGCCACATGCAGCTGGACTTCTATTTTTCGCCTCATTCCTTGTCTATTTAGTCTTGCACATGTAAAACCTCTGCTAGGACTTCATCATCAGGAATAGGGAGGGAAAGTATATATACAGCCATGCAAATCACTTGCTCTTACATCAGCTGAAAATGTCTAGTCCTGTTGCAAATATACTGTGGAGTGACAAAAGAGGCAAAATGTAAACTGAAAGAAGTACTTCCAGGAGGAATCACATCTGAGAGTTCAGCCATACCTGGAGAAACTATGAGTTTGGTTCCAGCTCCAAATGTAAGTCTGCCATAACTCCCAGTGTAGCACTGTGAACCAGTGCTCTGCAAAATGGGGCACTGGCTGCAGGTGAGCTGGCAGGAGGCTTAGAACATGGCAATGAAGGTTTGCATTGGAACAGACTCATAGAACCATCAAGGCTGGAAGAGATCTCTCAGATCATCAAGTCCAAGCATTAATCTGTCACTAGTGTAACCCCTAAACCAGATCCTCCAGTGCCAGATCCAGACACCTCCTGAACACTTCCAGGATTGGTGACCCCACCAGAAGCGTCTAACATCACCTCAGCACATACAGTGGAATAAACACTTCCATCAGCTGCATTCCTGTGCCTGGTGAACCATCCCTGCTACTCTCCAGGGAGCTCCAGGAGCCTCACTCCAAGCTCATCTTCTCTCTCTCTTCCTGTGTCTCTGCACAGCAGCAGCCTCTGTCCATCTCTGTGTGCATGCACAGCTGTCCAGGGTTTAGCTTCCTGAATGATGCTGAGTCTCACCAGTGTGCATGACCTTTCTGCCCTCTCCTCTTGCACAGTTCACTGCCCTTTTCAGGCTACACTGCAAGGTGTAACAATTCATACTTGGAATCATAGAATCATGGAACAGTTTAGGTTGGAAAACCTCTCTAAGATGATCAAGTTCAAGCACTAACCCAGCACTGCCATGATCACTACTAAGCTATGTGATGTGGCCAGGAGTGCCCAAGTGCATCCTCCCAACTCACACAGCTCACAGCAAAGTTCCACAGCTTGTGCCACTCTCATTACTGCTGTGGGAATCATCCTTCCTGCTCTGCAACTCCTGCAGATACAGCAGGAACCACAGGTCACTGTTACTGCTCCTTGGCAACAGCCTGAACTGCATCACTGCTCCTTTGCCAGCAGTAACCTTGGCTTTGAGTGGATTAAGTTTTGCACTGAACAGCTCAATGTCCCAACTTCAGAAATCTATTTTTTCCTTTCCCTTCTGTGCTCCTGTATTTCACTTCTTTGCTGTCACGCTCCTCCTGCTTCCTTTCCCCAGCATGGACATGTTTCTAGTGCACAGTGCCGGAGCAGAAAGTCAATCACTTCTCTCCAGGGAATACTAAATCCACCCAAATTGCTCCCCAAAGCCACTGCACTGCTCTGTTTGCAGCTGGAGAACAACGTCATCTCTACTGAATCCCACTGGACTTGAAGGAGAGACAACTCGTTTGAGGCCACGAGATGTTAGGTTCCCCTCTAGGCACAAGAGTATCTTGAAAATAGTCCCTTAACACTGTCACAGACCATGCAGGAGCACAAGGCAGGGCACCAAGTGGGAAAACAAGTCCAAGGGACACCTGGGGAACTGCAGCTGTGCCAGCATAGTGGTTCCCAAAATTGTGCCCCTCAAAGCGTCTAAGAGTGAGACCAAACGGAAAGAATTCCAGTGTCCAGCAGAAGGTGTTGCTCACCTGGCAGGACTGAGAGCACCGTTCCCTTTCCCAGAGTGACTCGGGCTGCAACATTCACACCCTGACACATTGCAGTACACAAAGTCTCCCTCAGCCCTGCACAGGAGCTGAGGCACAAAGCACCTGCAGCCAGGCCCCAGCAAAGCTCCTGACACAACAGGCTGAGCCCAGGGACATTCTCTGGACAAGGCAGCATCTATCTAACATCTTCACTTCCCTTGCACTAGCTGATGAACACAAAACTGTTCCACAGGCTGGAGCAGGAACAAGCTTGAACACTTACTGGGATCTATTCTGAGCTGAGTTCCACCTCCAAAGATGACCTTGCCACCATAATTAGTCACACAGTGCTTGCCTTCACAACAAAAACCCTGTGAGCCTGGGCTGATTCCCTGCAGAGCTGTGCTGTGCTGCCTGGGCACTGCTTGTACAGCATCCCAGCTAGTCATCCCCTGCAGCTCTGAGATGGACACTGAGGGCATCCCTGGGCCTTGTAGAGGAAAGATGCAGAATTATCATCACAGCTCCTCACTCATCCCTTGGAAATTGGCCCTAAGATCAGAAGGTCCTCTTGGACCTTCCTGCACACACTGTGCACAGTCAAAATGTCTTTCTTGCTTCTGGCTGCTCTCTGCCTCAGATGGTGACTTGAGTCCCTGAGACAAAGGTGAACTGAGCCTGTTGTCACACCAGCAGAGCACTGAGATGAACCCAGAGAGTTGGCACTCAGCTGGGAGCTACATCTCCCTCAGAGGGGCTGTCCTAGCAGTAAGGGCTCTCTTACACCCTGAGCCAGGGGGATGCTCACGCTGAGGTGCAAACCTGTTGCATTGCTGCAGAGTGGGTCAGTGTGGGTAATCTCACTTGGCTTTCTTGAGGTTCCTTCCACTTCTGGCTCTGCTCAGCCAGATTTACTTCCTTCTTTCAGTATCCAGCCTTATCCTGATCAAGAGCAACCAGGAGCACCATGTCCATACCCTGTGTCCCTCCGGTGCAGATATACTTCAGCTGGAAATATTTTCAAGTCTGAGAGCACCTTGACATAGCAACTATGTTCTTCTTCCCCTGTGAAAAGTGACCTGGATATAACAACTCCATCTGCAGGAGCTCCATGGACCCTGCAGGACTTGTGAAAAGGACACACGAAGAGCTGCACACTCACTGGCTGGATGGCCAGGCTGGTCCCTGAGCCAAAGGTCACCTTACCACAGGCAGATCCAGGACCACAGAGCATTTCCTTCCCTAACACAAAGCCCAACAAGCTCCTCTCCCCAGGCCTTTGCCCAGCACTGGCTATGCTAGGAGGGGCAGCAGGAGTAAGACAGTGCCTTACACTGCCCCATGGACCTCACTGGGTGCAGTGGCACAGGACACCTTGCCAGGGGCAGCTGGGACAGATGAGGCCACTGTGTTCTTCCCAGTCACATATAGAGCAAGAAGGGTTGGTTTAGATCAAGCAGAAACATTCCCTTCAAACCCAAGTCCATCCCCAGACATGGACACACAGAGATGACCAAACAGCAGCCATGTGCTGCCCTCACCCACTCACAGAACAGAGAGCACAAAAGCACAGGAGTAGTGTGGGACTTACGTGGTCGAACAGTGAGTGTCGTTCCAGAGCCAAAGACAAGTCTGTAACCACTAGATCCTGTCCTCACACAGCATTTCCTCTCTCAACAAAATCCTTCCCCATCACTTGGCACCACTGGTCACCCCCAGCCTGACTGGACAGTGCTGAGTGCCACTGGGACTCAGCTACAGCCTGAAGGGCAGAACCTCTGCCCCGATGTGTCTGAGAGGTCAGAGCACTCTTGGTCTGTGGACACAAACCCCTTTGGGAGTGCTGGTGCTTCTGCCCCAAGCCAAAGGCTGTTCTGGAGGAGAGAAGGAGGCCCAGAGCTGAAGGAGCACAAGCCCAGGAAGGATCTCCTGCACATCTCTCTGGGCAGGGTCAGCCTCGTCCCACATGGAAGGTGATTACAACACAGTGCTGGCACTTACTAGGTAAACATTGAAGTTGTGTCCCGTTGCCGAGTGTGAGCTTGTGCCACAGTTCGCAGCAGTTCTCAGCTCAACAAGAGCACAAGTTCATCCACATCCTGAGAGAGAAATCAACCCGTTTGACAGAGATGCCACTGATGGCCAGAGATGGACAAATTTCTCCTCAGTTCACAAAGAAATGCTGCAGCAAAATTCCTCCTTCAGCACTGGATCAGCATTAAAAGCAGAGATCTGCTCTGGACATCTCATCGGGGAGAAATTTCCACCAGTTTTCAAACTAACATAGCTGCTTTCAAACCTTCTCGTGATCTCAAAGAATCAGACAGAACAGCTAGTCCATCCCAGAAGAGAAGCAAGGGACCAGAGCCATGAGAGAGAGAAGCCAAGAGAGAACAAACAGAAGGAAACTAACAGAGAGAACCAATTTAGGGTCCTGATTTTTCGTGTTTGTTTAGCTGGCAATGAACCCAATGAGGAATCCATACCCAAGTCCCAGAAACAGTTCTGTCTAACCTTTTGAGTAACCAAAGGTTATTCATGGACACTCACACGTCTGCCCTAGAAGCAGCAGATATGGAAGGAGATTCCCCTCCCAGGACCATTATATACTACCAGTTCCCAGCACTGGGTTCTCCCATACTTCTCAGAATACTTTAATTCAGATCTTGCACTTACTTGGCTTAACACTGAGCTTTGTTCCTCTGCCAAACTGCAACTTTCCATAGTTGTTTCCTGAATTCACACATCATTTAATTCCTTTGCAAAACCCTTTCCTGTTCTGCCATTGTACACACAGCAGGGAAACTCCTGAGATGGGAAGATTTCTGGACAGGAATGAATTAAGATAATCCCATCCCAGACTGACTGAACCCAGCAAAGACAATCTGGGCATACATTTGGCATCTCAGTAAAAGCCCACATTTCCCCTCTGAACAAAAACCTTGCCCACCACTTGGCACCACTAGTCAGCCCCCAGCCTGACTGAACAGTGCTGTGTCACTGGGAGTCAGCTACAGCCTGAGGGGCAGTACTTCTGCCCCAATGTGTCTGAGAAAATAAACAGAAGGAAATTTCCAGGGAAAACCAATTTAAGGTCCTAATTTTTCTTATTTGTTTAGCTGGAAATGAACCCAGTAAGGAATCCAAACCCAAGAGACAGCTTTGTACAATCTTTTGAGTAACCAAAGGTTATTCATGGACACCCACAGTTCAGCCCTAGAAGCAGCAGAATATGGAAGGAGATTCCCCTCCCAGGACCTTTATGTACTACCACTTACAAGCATTGGGTGCTCCAATACTACTCAAAATACTTTAATTCAGATCACGCACTTACTTGGTTTAATACTGAGCTTTGTCCCTTGGCCAAACTGTAACTTGTCATAGCTGCTTCCTGAATTCACACATCATTTAATTCCTTTGCAAAAATTTCCCTGCTTATTCTCTGCATACATATACTCATCAAAGTGCCTAATGCCCCTGAGTGCTTGTCTAGGATTTCCATTCACTTGCAGTTCCACACACACACACTTGTTCTTTATCCTCCCAGACACATGGATCTCCACATCTTGGAGATTATGAGGAGAACCAGGTACAAGAGCTGAGTGTCCTTAACCAATCTACACTTACTTAGTGCCAAAACCATCTCTGTCCCCTGCCCAAATCTTTGCTTTCTCCCTCCTGCAGCTGCACTGCCTGAGAGTCCTCTACAGAGACCAACTCTGCAGGGCAAATGACAGAATTCTCTGCTAAAAGCTTCCTGGGCAGCCTCAGAACCTCAGAAGTGTAAAGAAAAGCTGTGCCTTTCAAAGTACAACATGGAACAAAACTCAAGATAGATGTAGACCAATATTTGATGGAAAATGCTGTCTAGAAAGTTTGTCTCCCATTCCTCCTCAGACACTATCTTTAAACTTACACTGCAAATGGGAAATTTCCTATTAACAAAGATTTCTTTCTACTAAGTTCATTTCCCTTTGCTGATTTGTGTCTCTCAGGTCTCTCTGCCTCTCAGCTGCAGCACAGTGACCATTCTGCCACAGGGATTCCACAGACAAGAAGTCAATGCACCTGGGAGAACAAGGGAACTGTTAACTCCCTCCAATATCTGACTCAGAGGAGATCCATTACACTGCCAATTCCTCCTGCCTTGTTTAACTTGCTTCCTTTGGGGGATGGAGACTGACTGGAATTCCTCCAAGGATCCTCTCACAACAGTTGCTCTCCAGAAACTCTCAGAGCTTACAAAACCTGCAACAGTTCTCTCTCTGTTTTCTCTAAGTGTTCCAGCCACACTATCACTTCAACACCAGGAGCAGCAGATATGAAGGAGCTTCCTCTCCCAGGACCATTATGTACTACCAGTTCCAAGCATTGAGTTCTCCCATACTTCTCAGAACATTTCAGTTCAGATCATGCACTTACTTGGTTTAACCCTGAGCCTTGTTCCTTGGCCAAACTGCAACTTTCCATAGTTGTTTCCTGAATTCACACATCATTTAATTCCTTTGCCGAAACCTTTCCTGTTCTGCCATTGTACACACAGCAGGAAACTCCTGAGTTGGGAGGATTTCTGGTTGGAATGAACTAAAATAATCCCATCCCAGATTGACTGAACCTAGCAAAGACAATCTGGGCATATACTTGACATCTCAGTAAAAGCTCATCCACATCTAAGATAGAAAAGCAACCCTTGATGGCCAGAGATGAACAGTTTTGCCCTTGGTTCATGTGAAGAAATGTTGCAGCAAAATTCCTCCTTCAGCACTAAATCAGCTTTAAGAGCAGAGATCTCCCCTGGGCATTCCACTTTAAAATACTTCATCCCCCAGGCATGCAGTGCCCTGTCTGTTGGGATCACTTGCCATGACAGAGCAGCTTTTGCTTTGTCAGCGAGGGAAACCCTGCATGGAAACCTGTCTGTAGGCAGAAGAAGTAGCAGAGCAAAGGGTGAGGCAGTTTCCCAGCAGAGAGGGACCTGCAGCTCCTGAGAACTACTTAGGACATTGCCCAGGGTCTGGGCAATGGCCAGGCATGCAGTGCCCTGTCTGTTGGGATCACTTGCCATGACAGAGCAGCTTTTGCTTTGTCAGCGAGGGAAACCCTGCATGGAAACCTGTCTGTAGGCAGAAGAAGTAGCAGAGCAAAGGGTGAGGCAGTTTCCCAGCAGAGAGGGACCTGCAGCTCCTGAGAACTACTTAGGACATTGCCCAGGGTCTGGGCAATGGAAATAAAGGGCAGTGAGAGCATTGCAGATCTGGGAGATTGCTGGGAACATGTAGGAGTGAGGAAAATGCCTTGCAGATGTTCCAGCTGTCAGTGAGACATATTGCACAGGACAGTCCAGTCTCCAAACAGGGACTGAGCTTTACAGTGATTTCTTTCCCCTGATGTAAGGTCAGCCTTGACCTTCCATTGCTCACAGAAGGAAAGAAATGGAATGTTAATGTCTGTTTCAATGCTTTCCTAGAAAGGAATTAGGCTTTCCTGTCTTTAGCTCCTTCAGGCTTTCTACCTACCTGGCTTCACTTTCAGCTCTGTCCCACTCCCAAAGGTCACTTTCCAGGCGGATCCTGAACTCACACAGTGACACATTCCCTAACAAAAACCACACACAGCTTTTGGCCCACACAGATCTATGTGTTTTTCAAAAGAAGGGGAAAACAGATGTCATCCTCACTGCACACCTTGGGCTCTCAATTAGCATGTGTTTCTAGTTGCACACCTGATCTGTCCAGAGAAATGCAGAGAGAAACAATTCTGGATGCTGCAGAAACCAAGCCCAAGTCCCTGTTAGCAGAGCACAGTTGAAGTTCTTGGACTGTTCTTAAGCAGAACAATTTCTGCCACAGTCAGGAGACAAGAAACTCTCAGCCTTGCACTTATCATGTGAAACAACTCCTTGTTTCCAGCTATACCTGAGTTCAGAATGTCTCTCCCAGAGGTGAGTTCCAGGCAGACTCAGTTATCCCCCAGTAACGAATTTTACACCAAAGCTGTAAAGGAGAGAAACCTCAGCCTTTCAAAGGCAGAACTCACTGCGAGACACCTCACAGGGGAGAAATTTCCACCAGTTTTTAAACAACTAACATAGCTGTTTCCATAGTCTCAAGGAGGAGTCAGACAGATCCATCCCAGAAGGGAAGCAAGGGACCAGAGCCATGAGGGAAAGAAGCCCAGGGAAATTAAGCAGATCCTTATTTTTCTTGTTTCTTTAGTTGGCAATGAACCCACTGAGGGATCCAAACCCAAGTCCCAGAAACAGCTCTGTCTAGTCTTTTGAGTTTGGAATGAACTACAGTAATCCCATCCCAGACTAAATGAACCCAGCAAAGACAATCTGGGCATTTATAAGAGCTCAGATTATATATGTTGACAACAATATAAGGGACAGAGAGAAAGAGAACTTGCCCTCGGAGTTCCATAACTAGCCAAACCCAAATGAGTGCCCGTGCTGGAAATGCCATTTCAGCCATTCCTGGCAGATCCTGTGTGGCCCCACAGATATTTCAGGGGATGACTTGTTTCTGTGAGGTGTTTAGAACTACAATCACGAAGATGTTATGAATGCAACCACACACAGTTTTCCTTTCCACAGCTGCTCAGGGCTAAATCCCTCCCTGCATCCTGAGCAGGATCCAGACCAGATCCAGTCAGGGGCTGAATTCACCTACACACCATGGCACTCACTGACTGGGAAATCCTTCAGTTTTCTCCTAGCATTTTCCACATACCACTTTGCATTCACAGCAGCTGTCCCAGCCCCAGCATTTCCTGACATTGCGAACAGGCACTCAGGCACTGACCCACTTACTCCACAAGATTTCCATCCTTAGGCAGATTTGGCATGACAAAAGTCTCTGGAAGCTCTGTAAACCGAGGTATTCCCAGCTGGAAATGTGAGTTCCCACAGCAATGGGGACAGGGCACAGTACACCAGAACCTCCCCCACTGGTACCATCGAGCCCAGTGTCCTCTCCTAGAGCTGACCCAGACACAACCCTGGCCCTGGGGAGCTTTGAAATCATATGGAGTAGAAAAGAGAAAGCAGAGAGAACATCTAAGTCATAGCTGAAGTATTTACAATTCTTTTCTCTCCCTTCAAACGGGAAAAGGAAATTCACAGCCTTGTGGAGCCAAGGTCACTGCTGCTCCACCAGAGAAAGAGAGCACAAATGCCCCAGACTGGACCAGTCTCTCCACTTCTGTTGCACAAAGTAATGACAGCAAAACTGTTCCACAGGCTGGAGCAGGAACAAGCTTGAACACTTACTGGGATTTATTTTGAGCTGAGTTCCATCTCCAAAGATGAGCTTGTTGCCATATGTAGACACACAATGTTTGCCTTCACAACAAAAACCCTGTGAGCCTCTGCCTGGGCTGACTGCCTGCAGAGCTGTGCTGTACTGACTGGGTATAAAGAAAAGCCATGCCTTTCATGGTACAGAATGGGAAACAAACGTGTCATATGCATATTTGATGGGAAACACTGTCTGGGATGTTTTTCTCCCTTTCCTCCTCAGTCATTTTCTTTACACTTAAACTGCAAATGGGAAAGTTACTATTAACAAAGGTTTGTTCTGATTTCTTTCTACTAAGTGAGAAGTTCATTTCCCTTTGCTGATTTGTGTCTCTCAGGTCTCTCTGCCTCTCAGCTGCAGCCCAGGGGCCATTCTGGCACAGGGATTCCACAGACAAGGAAGCAATGCACCTGGGAGAACAAGGGAACTGTTAACTCTCTCCAACATCTGACTCAAAGGAGATCCATTACAGAGTCAGTTCCTCCTGCCTTGTTTGCCTTGCCCAGACAATGCAGCAGCCTTGAACCAGCACTGTCAGAACCTTCAGAGTGGGAGGAAAGGAGTAGCTCCTTGTCTCGGAGCCCCTGGGAAAGTCTCTGCACTGTCTCAGCCATTAGCCTGGAAATGCAAACCTGCCTGAGGACCTGAACACAAACTGCTCTCCAGGGCAGAGCAGGGCTGGACACACACCTGCAGTTAGACACTGCTGCAGCCTCTGGGGTGACACAAATGCTGACACACATTGCCCTATCACTGCTTTGCTTGGGAGACTTACTTGGAAGCACAACCAGACAAGTTCTTCCAGCAAAAGCAACCTTCCCATAGCCCCCAAACACACTGTGACAAGGAGCTTTGTATAAACCTCTGCTGAGAAATGGAACAGATTCCCAATCGCTGCTGAACGACAGAGGTTAACTATTGCCTTTCCAAAGCCTTTGGGAACCAGAATGAAGCAAAATCTCTTGCTGAGCTAACAACTGTACACACAGAAATTCACTTCTGTTGGTTACAATTTTGCTAAACTAAATCTTATGATAAATGGATTAAATATACTTTCCTGTCCATATCAGTATAGATTTTGGGTCGCTAAAAG